GAGTTCCGTGACGACACCAGAGGATTCGGATACTTACCTGAAATGTACAACTGCAATCTATCGTTATTTCACCCAGGGAAAGTCACAGAATAGATATGAAGCGCAACAAACGAAATCACACAAGCTCTTAGATCTGTCCACACAAATCCTGGAAAATGCTGACAAGACAGTAATTCAAATGCAGTACATCAAAAATTTTGGAGTCACTCTGGCGCCTTATTTCTCCTGGCACCAGTATGCTCAATCATAAGTAGTGAATCACCGCTGTAGGGTTTATAGCGAAAGGCTAAAGCGTTTGCATGCTCTGACAGAGATCATTAATGCATTTGTATATGCATTTATCCCTCCCGTGCAGCGTCTAACATCTCTCCCTGGCTGCACGCATGTGACTTGAAGGCAATGAGGTAATCACTGAAGCATGTTTCTAGACTTACTGGTCATCCCTTTAATGACTTGGCGTTACAAGCGGCAGAATCAGTAGTTTCACAAGACGTCCCTATGGGGAACACCGTCCTTATCTACTGCGCCAACTTACTTCACGAATACCTAACTCAGTGCTTGTCGCACACCAGCAGCACAGGTCTAGGTTCTGAACATCGTTCTCAGACGTAGCCCTATCAGAAATCCATTCAGTGCGCATCCTCAGGGGTTCAAATGTAATACAACAAAGCTCATATTCGTTGAGGACATTTTTATGTGACAACGGTGGCAAAATAGTCTTGTTCTTGCCACGTTTTTCTCGTAATTCAGTGTTCTTACTTTCTGTGACTTTATTTAAGCAATAAACTTTAAAACTTCAAGGGTAGCAAAAAATAATGTTGTTATGCTGAATCTGAAGATGTATCTACAGAATGAGTCAAAAAATATCGATGTCAAAAAACCAGGAACAAACAGAAATCGAACGGCACGAACAAACCTACAAAATGCAAATCAACTTACCGGTAACAGATTTTGGTAACGGAAACGCCGGCTTCATATGACCCTCTAGTAAGTTTTCGTTGAATTCTTGCGCTAAATCAAGAAACTACAAGTGGAAAATATACGTCTTTAATTCACCTTCATCATCAGCGAGAGGAATTTCTGTCGAATTTTCATGGTTGTTATTAAGATGCGCCGTTTCGATGCCATACGACATTTTCACTTTTACAGGTTTACAGAATTACATCAATTATGATATTGAAAATCAAGTAGCAACTAATATTATGTAACAGTTTTGTACAAATAATTGAATGTACATAAAGTTAATTTTTGGTGACGATTCGAACATCAATGCATTTGTTTTCTGATCTGTCGCTGAAGAAATGAGCTATTATACTGGCTTCAAATAAACAATTTTTAAGGCTCTCATATCAATGCCATGCCGGTTGATGACTTGAAGGTGGTAGGTCATCTAATCTCATGGTTGGCAAAACGCACTTAAGTCATCGTATTTGACGCAACTAAGAAAATGTTCATTTCAG